CAAAGCCTGTCAGAGCAATAACATTTTGAAAACATTGCACTTAACGTTTAATCATTCAGCAAGTCATCACTAGGGCAGAACCATCAGCCACTTCGCAATGGGAACTATAGGAAATCACTACAGAATGACATCATTCCATAGGAGGCAGAAACAATTCCTAAGTTGACCGTGGCCTCCTAAACAGTTTCTGACACTGAAAAAGGGGCAGGCTACTGTATGAACACCAATGGCAAGGACTTGTGAGTCCTCCTTTGATACACAGGATGTAGCACAGGGTAAGTACAAGGCACTGTTTTAGAGGAGTAACAGTGCTCTGCTTTCCCACTATGATGGAATTCAAATAATAGGCATGTTTTAAATGTAAAAAAGCTTGGCCTCTTTGTTAGCTTTTTGCTGCTATGATCTGTTCATTTATGTTTTCACTCCTCATTTTATTTACTTAAGTAGATCAGGGAAGAGTGACCCTCAAGGAAAATACTCTGTAGAAGTCAGCATAGAAACCAAACCCATGCACATCATAGGAAAAAATTCTGAATGCTTTGGCCCCATCTCTAAAACAAAGTTCAAGTTTCAGATCTCTGAAATACTCAATTCACATTTCATGTTCAAACCTGCACTTTGAAGACTTATTTCAGCTTTGCCACAGGCTTCAGAAGCCAGATCTGGGCACTGTTGACCACACGTAGTAGACTCAAACATGACACTATGTCTGGATTACAGAATAGTCTGCCCCATATGCCACACACTGATGAAGTATAGCATATCCACTCCATGCTTTAAGTGATCCTTTTCCCATGAAGTCTATTCTTGTGGTTGCAATTAATACCAAGAAGGAGCAGGAAACTCTGTGCATCCAGGCATCATTTTTCCAATTTGCCTTCCTAAGGAATGAAGCTGATGTGCTAACTCTGCTTGTTTGTGTACATCCCACCACAACTTCCAAGCCCTCAGTCAATTCTGAACAAAAGAATATACCAAAAGAAATTTCTAGTAAGATGCATGTCTCCATCTTCCTTCTCCAGGAAAGGATTATAACCTGAACTCAAATTTTATTAGACATTATAAAATCTTCATAGAGAGCAAGTATGAAGGTCCCAAACACGGGAAATGCTTCATGCAGAGCATGCACCTACAGGTCGTTTAATAGCAACGTGAGACAGAAACCATCATCAATTAGTAATGCTGCTCCCTGAACTGCAGATGCCTACCTGTCAGTGAAAATCTTCTCACAAATTCTACAGCATCATTTGTGGGACTAGAATTTATGTGCAGAATTGACTGCTTTAAAATGCTTATTGTAAATATTTCATATTGCTCTCAACCTGCTAGCACAGTGACAGGAAATGTTAGGCATTTGGGATGCCCTGGAGGGGTGAAAATAAATGATAGCTCTCACCCCAGTGCTGCCCTTTGAAGGGACCCTAGTTAGCCAGATAATGCTATGGGACAATTGTGGTTAAATCCCAAGAGAGCTTTTGGAGTGTCATCCACAGGAACCCTGATGAGTGCAGTGTAATTAGTTACAGATGAGCACACAGGGTCTGTCTGCTCCCATGCTGGGAGAGAAAGGCATTTCTGCCTAGCAGCCAGGTCAGCTGCTCTGGAAATAGGAGAAGGATCTTCCTCGTTGATTCAAGGTCCAGCTAGGTGTGTGTTTTGGAGCTGAAGGATGGAATTGCATTCACTACCAGTGAAAATTACAGGATCATGTTTGCTGGGTAGCTGACAAATTCCCATAAAATTCTATGCTGAAGTTTCTCTATTTCACAGGGTCACTGCTCAGCAGCTCAAGACTTGGCTTTCCTACAGGTGTTCACAGCGTGCCAGACAGTTCCCAGGAACACACATAAAGCTCTCTTTCCTAAAACATCTAATCTAAACACCAGTATTGCTGCACTTTTATGTATATCTTTGTGTGTTCTGGCACCTGATAAAAGCTCCATTATTTTCAAGGAGTGAGTGTCACCTGGTGATACCACAGCTTCCTCTGAAGAGGTGCTTTCACAGAGTTCATCCCTAGGTTATACATGAGGTTTGATTTTTTTTTCCCCAGAAAACTCCAGGAAAGACATCTGAAAAACACTTTTGTGCATCTTGTTTGGAATCCTTTCCACCACAGAAGGTAGGAGCTGAAGCCCAGCTGCTCTCAGAGAAGCGATGGCTCAGCAGCTGAACTCCTGTTGTGTACAGAACAGTAAAAGCGCCCAACAAATGCCAAGTATTGATGGAGCAGCTACAGGTTCGTTGTTAGAAGGACCACTAGTGACTACTAAATGCCATCAGATGGTTAAGCACAGCCATTTATGGTTTAATGGCTCCTCTCAGGATCCTGGGAAACTAGCTTGTAAAAAGTATCAGAGGCACACTTTGTTTTTAACTAGCCACAAAGGCATTTAACTGAGCAAGCCAGAGTGGGCTCTCTGATACAAATGGTTCTGGCTGAGCAAGACACACTTGCTGCAGTCTCTCTAAGGGAGAGAATACTTGAATCTTCCTGGCTCCTTGGCCCTTGGAGTAGGTTAGACAGGTACTTTTTCTGCAGTCACAGTGGGGTCCTGCAATTTAGCACAAGCTTCTAAAAATTTTACATTTCCCTAGTCACTACACACAGGCTACTCAATGATAACCACCTTACTGGTGAGCTGAGGTTCAAATATGAAATGGCAGTGCTTTCTGGAACAGCATGACCCTTAGTGGAAGGAGAGTATTTTTTTATATTTAAATTTAGTGTCTGATTCTAACAGATTTACTAAGCACTATGATGACTCTGTAATATAGAGTCAACTTTGCATACTTTAAACCCATACTTAACTTCAACTAAGTTGCAAAAATTGTAATTGTGGATAGTGTGCTAGAGACAAGGTTTTTGAAGAAACCTTTTGCCTCCTATGCAAAATTAAGCCTGCTCTGCTTGGGACAATGGTGGAAGAAATACTATTCTGTGCTCACAAATCCATTAATACAAGCATACCATGGAAGACAGAAGCAGTACTTCTTTCTAGTGTTAATGGAACAGTCCATCAATTGTTGCTTTGCAGCTGGTTCTGGCACAATATGAGAAAGGATGCTCACACCTGCAGATCTGATAACACTGAAATGCTTCCCTTCCACAAATGTTCCTACTACATTGAACAGTTTGAATTAAACCTTCATCCATGGCTTCCCAAGTGCAGGGGAAGTAATCAGAGTACTCCCTGAATGGGTTGTCATGTGTCTTAGTGACAGGAACCCAGCAGTGATGTGTGCAGTACAGAACAAGTTGTTCAGTGGGCTAGCACCTAACGCTGCCCTGAGCTGCCCATTCTGCTCATTTCAAACTGCCCTGGGCTTGCTGTGCTGCTTCAAGAGCACAAATCACTCCCTGTCTACAGCTACACCTCTGTCAAAGGTGAATAATTCACTGGCTGTTGAAAAGGCAACCACTGTCTTTCCCCTCTTCCTTTCTTTTTTTTCCTCAGAGTGCTTAAATCAGGTCTGACTAGAAAAAGAGTGTATCATCTTGGTCACACACTGTTGGATTTTTTTTGTGTAAAGCACAAAACCACGTCCTTGCAGATACTGCTCATTAGAAAGCACAGCGTATGAACATGGGGTCCTTTCTAACCTAGGAATTCTGGAAAACAGTGTTGGGGCAAGTGGTGGTACCTGGGACTCTGCTAGCATCTAACGCTGCCCTGAGCTGCCCGTTCTGGGTGAGCCAGCATCCATCTGCCCTGGGCTTGCAGTGCTGCTTCAAGAGCACAAATCATTCCCTGTCTACAGCTACATCTCTGTCAAAGGTGAATAATCACTGGCTATTGAAAAGGCAACCACTGTCTTTCTCCTCTTCCTTTTTTTTTCCCTCAGAGTGCCTAAATCAGGTCTGACTAGAAAAAGACTGTATCATCTTGGTCACACACTGTTGGGTTTTTTTGTGTAAAGCACAAAACCATGTCCTTTCAGACGCTGCTCATTAGAAAGCACAGCGTATGAACATGGGGTCCTTTCTAACCTAGGAATTCTGGAAAACAGTGTTGGGGCAAGTGGTGGTACCTGCTGACAACCTTGCCATAGGGAGAGGGTGGTGAGAGCACACATCAGTGTAAAATGCTCAAATGGCTCCTATTGAGCTGACATGGGGGAAGCACCTACAACCAAGCCCTCCATTTGGCTCAAGGGCAGAAAATGTTTCTTGGGATGCAAGCCTAGAGTGTTTGTGTCAAACAGAGTAATGGTGCCCCTCTTCTCATCACATGTATGTTCATAAAAATCTCCAAAATGCATATGCTAATTTCTTCACCTTCCAAGCAACACATCAAAGACAGTTTGCATACACAGATTTCCAGCTAAGACATCTATATTTTTAACTCATTAAAATGTAACTGCTCTTGTTCTCAGTTTTGATATAGCAGTCAAAAAACATTCAATGCTCATTTCAAACTACACTGACAGTATCAAATAATGCCCAAATAGGCTGTTGCTGTGTATGAAAAATAAATCTCTTTTGTTTGCAAAGGATTTCTAAAGAAGAGGTTAGAAATCACCTGGCTTTTATTCATATTTACAGTTTTATTCATATTTACGGTTATTTAAATAATGTCTTCATTCCCTCTGTACATAATGTTTGGGAACATAATGTGCTCCAGGCCAAAACATTAAACTTAGAATATACATAAATGTAAGTGACATTTTACCTGAGTGACATGAGGATTTCCTGAGATTTTGGGAGCCCAGCAAGCCAGCACACTGCACTGAACTACACATGCAGATAAGGAGTATTTTCTATATTATTTGGGTGCAGCATACACTAATTCAGTGAGGAACAAATTTTCCAAAATTTTCCAAAACTATCTACTTTTTAAAAGTTTTCCAGTATTAACCCTTTTAATTATCTCTATTCATGTATTTTTGGACTAGCCAACACTTACAAAAGTAAAACCAAGAAAAAGACAGAAGTATAAAAAATATCAAATCAAAATTATTAAAAAGCAGTACACTTTTGCATAGATCTGGACACTTACCTATAAGCAGGATAACTAATACATCTGTAATATAATAACCAAACAGCAAAGGCTTCTGCCAGACCTCCACACCAACAGTACCAGTGAGCAGATATGCTGCTATTAACACCTACAGAAAAAAAGACAACTGATTTTCAATCCTTTACATCTAAAGGTAGAGAATTTCACTTATCATCTTAATACAAATGCAAAAGCTAAAAAAAAATCTGTTAGTTACCTCCTGCCACTACTTTACCTTCTGCTGCCATGGCAAAACAATTACTTCTAAGCAGTGAAGTAACTTGCAGGGTCACGAAGAGAATTATTTAAAATTTATGAAATATGGTAAACAAGCACCTTCCCTGGTAATGTCTGCATCTGTTTGTATGTGATAAGTATTACTGACTTACCTTTTCAAAATACCTAAATCCACTTCTATTGCCAGGTCTCCCCAGTGCACGTGCACTTCCCTGTTTTTGGATACAGACTTCACAATTGGCAATGTGGTTATTTTTGCAGCTCTGCCCCTTGAACTGATTATATCAAAATAACTGAGAAAGGGGGAGAAAAATCTTAAGCCCACATGAAACAATAATAAAAAATAATAAAAACATTCAATTAAATGTGAAGAAATAAAAAGAACGGGAAGGAGATTAAGTCTTCCCTGATTTTTCTTTGACAGATAACACCATTACAGGACACAAAAACAATCACGTAGATGTCATTAGGAGGGAAAGGACACATACACAAGACCACCAGCACCCAGCTAGAGGGACTGCTGCCCTTCTCTTTCTCCAGCCTGCTTTATTCTCAGCTGTTTTGTTTTGCCATAGGACCCATAAGGGGCTGTATGTTTCATGCTACACTAGCTCTAAATGAAATGACAATGTTAATTACAATACCATTTAGAAAACTGCATATTCATCTATTTATTCCCATGTAACATTCAGTAACCTTTATATTTTCTTCTCAATGCAGCTTCTTACTCTGAGATGAAAAAATTGTTTCCAGCTTTACTTGTTTTATAGATTTTACTATTTCTTATTTAGGTTTTTTAATGCTCTTTTTTTTTTTTCTATATTATGTGTTTTCTCCATTTGAACTTCAACAAGCACATTTCTAGTCTCCTATTAAATTTTAACTCAAAGATACACTGAAAATCTCTTTGTTAATTACCAGGCTTTTTAAGATCACAGATTAAGAGCAGAATGCTGATGTTGCTTAAACTTCTATTACACGTAGATAATACTACATTTGGTTTCACTTACTTCTCTCTATCTGAAATCAGGATTCTTGCCCTGTCAGTATGTAGGTCTTTATGAGGCTTTGCTTGCATTTTGCATTGTGGAACTGGGTGTTTTGAGTTGCCTTTGCAAGAGCAAGCAGCACAACAGATCTGCAGCAAGGAGGAGCAGGCACTAGTGAGTGCCACTATGTCTTGAGCCACTGAAGACAGTGAGTCAAATTTTGGTCTAAGTTAAGGACATATAATGGGTTTTGCAATCCACTGCATCAGAGCTAACATTTGGCTTCCTGAAGAAATTGTATTACATTACCCATAAGACATGATGGATGGAATCCTGACCCCATCAAAGTTGATGGCAAAATTCCAACTGGCTTTGATGGCGCTTGAATTTACTCTCACACATTGAATCCTGAACAGACATTTTGGCAAGTGATAAAAGAGGAACTTTAGTATTAACCATTGTTACAGTCAGTACTTTTGGCAGGACAGTCATGAGCATCACTGTCAGATGTCAGTGCATGTCTAGGAACAGGGGTGTGGATGCAATGGGCTCTCACAGGGAATGCCCTGCCCTGGGATTTGGTGATGCAAGACTCCCAGATCGACATTGCCTCTTAACAGATGTAGCATATGAAAAAACCCCACTCCTTGTCTTCAAAATTTTGGATTATTGTTTTTTAAGGACTCATCATTTTACACTGAAGCAGTCTCCAGCTTTAGAAAGCAGACCTCCTTTAAAAAGCCTGAAGGATGAGGAAATGGCTGTGTCCCTTGATCTAAGCTATACTGGCAAAAAATTGAGGATTGTCAAAATTAACAGCAAAGCCTAAGTCTGTTAGTCAGCTGTATAAACTCTTATAAAGGCACTGCTGGTGGAGAAAAAAAAAAGTAAAGCAATGTTCCCAAGTTCAGCTGAATAATTTTACTCTAAGAAAAGATGGCCAAGTTTTTTACCTATCTCTCTACCATAAGCCAGCTTTTTTATTTTCAGATATAAATGTAGTCTCTAGCAAGTAAAAATAATTGCAGCCTTTTGTAAAATGAGAAGTCCAAGTTAAATAACTGTATTTGGGTTGTGTGGCCAGTTTTTGGTAGCAGGGGGACTACAAGGATGGCTTCTGTGAGAAGCTGCTAGAAGCTTTTCCCATGTCCAGCAGAGCCAATGGCAGACAGCTCCAGGATGGACCTACCAGTGGCCAAGGCTGCACCAACCAGAAATGGTGACAATGCCTCTGGGACAGCATATTTTAAAAGGGAAAAAAACCCCCATATTGTGCAGCTGTAATTGATGCCAGAGAAGAGAGGAGTGAGAATACGTGAGAGGAACAGCCCTGCACACAAGGTCAGTGGAGAAGGAACAGGAGGTGCTCCAGGCATTGGAGCTGAGGTTCCCCTGCAGCCCATGGTGCAGCCCATGGTGATGCAGCTGTGCCCCTGCAGCCCATGGATGTCCAGGGGGTGCAGAGATCCACCTGTAATCCCCCACGGAGCAGGTGGATGCCTGAGAGGAAGCTGTGAACCTGCAGGAGGCCCTTGCTGGAGCAGGCACCTGGCAGGGATCTGCAGACCCCTGGAGAGAGGAGCCCATGCTGGAGCAGGTTTTCTGGGGGACCCACACTGGAGCAGGCTGTGCCTGAATGACTGCACCCCATGGAAAAGTTTCCATGGTGCAGGAGTTCATGAAGAACTGTAGCCCATGGGATGGACTCACACTGGAAGAACTGTCTCCCATGGGAGGAACCCACTCTGGAGCAGGGGGAGGACTCTTCTCCCTGAACAGTGACAGAAACAACCTGTAATGAATTGACCCCCATTCCCTGTCTCCCTGTGCCATTGGGGGAGTGGAGGTAGAACCCAGGAAGATGGGAGAGGTAGGGGAAAGGTGTTTTTAAGATTTGTCTTACTTCTTATTATCCTGCTTTGATTTTGATTCGTAAGAAATTCAGTTAATATCCCTGAGATGAGTCTGTTTTGCCCATGATAGCAATTTGTGAGTGATCCTTCTATCATCTCATGAGCCTTTCATTATATTTTCCCTCCCTGTCCAGTTGCAGAGGGGAGTGATAGAGCAGCTTTTTGTCTGGCATCCACCCACCACAAAAACACAACTGAAAACTATATAGCAAAGTGATGTAGATGGGTACAATTTTGGATTCCAATTCTCACCAGCATCTGACCAGGAATATTTTTGGCTTTTGGCTTTCCAAGACCTTCTCCGTGAGGATGAGGAATACTTATGATGGAAAAGATACGGAAATACAAGATGTTGATTTATAGGCTCTCTGATATAGCTGACAGCAGGACAGCTGGATTCTGAGCAGGAGCTCCCTATCTTGACACCATTTTGTAAATAACAGCAATATAGTCACATTTGTTCCTGTGTAAAATCAGAATAATTATTTGATATGGCATTGGGAAAATTCTATATATACATAAGGCAGTATAACCCCTCAAAGTCTTCTACCTTTTAGCCTCTTACCTGTTCTCTAAAATTCTTGATATTTTTAAATCACCATCACTTTCATGTCTTTTCACAATTTCAGGTATGAGTTTTGTGACCACAATATTTTAGATTGTGCATGTACATACATTTATTTTCTTACCATCAATTTACCATTTCTGTTTTACACACAGGCACATTTAGTTTGCTGTGTGATATTCTACACGATGAAATAAAAATTCTAATATCATGTCATCTTCTAAAAAATCATGAATATGCTTTAAAATTCTTTATGATTCCACAAAAACCTGGCATTAATTTTATTGTCATATTCAATTTCACTAGCATATTGCTATAGTATTAATTGCTCATGTGTTGAAATATTTTCCATTAGCACAATGCTCAAAATAAATATCTAGAAAGCAAAGTCATTTAAAATACAAGGCTATTTCATTCTTCTGATAATGAATGTGACACTTGCCTAAAAGAGTAAGAATGATTTCCTACAAGCTATTTCCATAGGAGTTAGCTTTAATGTGATGCACAATTTTTCCACTTTATTTTTTTCTCAGTTTTTTTTCTTTCAATAAATAATTGAAGGTTGCAAATCTTAGACTTTCAAAAATTTTACCTAAAATATGTCTTTGCATTAAGACATTGCAGACAAATAACTAAAGGCACATGGAAGATTAATTAATCAAGAAAGGTTTGTGGGGAATCATAGTCAAGTGGTTAAGAATGAAGCAGTCTGCTGTAGAAAAAGCCTGTGCACAGCAGGTTCTTCTGTTCAGATTTCACATGGATACACCATGGGGCTTCTCTCAGACAACTGAGTATTGAGATCAGTTTCCAGCCATGTCTGGAGGCAGCTTGAAGCAAACACCATGGTCTGGCCAGCACTGCTTCCTCACTGCTATCACTCTCTTACTTCAACAGTTCCATTGTGCTCCAACTTCAAAACTAAGTAATAATACTTTTTCTTCAAAAGAAAGGCTATGCTTTCCACAGACACTTCAAATTAGAAAAGCTCTGAAAGTGAATATCCTTTCAACTGAAATTAAATTGTGAATCCTGATAATGCAACCAAAGAACAACATATTTGCACCTTTATTTTGCTTTTTAATTTGCCCCCCAGAGGAGGTAGAAATTTTTTCAAGATGTGATGTGCACTTGCATTGTTTGGGATTTCTCTGCTAGCTCCTGAAACACTTTCTGCCACAGTACATCTCTGGAAAAAGTCATATGGAATATATTTCAGCATGGGTTTTGTAAACTAAACTTGTCAAAGAAAACATGGTATATGGCATCCATGAAAGAAACCTTCCCCATCTTTGACTGAAAGGAAGGAGAACAGGAAGTCCTACAATGTTTCTGTTGCTAAGGGCATTGTGTACTTCCATTTATTCAGAGTTCCAAGGCAGGCAGAGGGTTCTCCCAGAGGCTCTAGGTGGTGCTGTCCAAAGCCATCAGGCAGAAGCAGCTGGGAAAGCATCTTAGACCGAAACCCTGTGGCTCACAGTCCAAGCACCAATCCCTTCAGGCACAACTCTCTCTGTATGTGGGATTTCTGGTCATCCTCTCCTTGCAGGGCCAGGGCTGGGCCAGAGAGAGCTGCCTGTTGCCTTTGGGATTTTGCTGCTTGTGCTGCTTTCTTTGGTTTGTCTTGCCCCTCTGGCTGAGGAGATGGAGAGGAAGGAGAGTGGAATTGTCTGGGTCACAGCAGCTCTCACACAGCTCTTCACTTTTAAAGTTTTAATTAAGAATATAAAAGATATCTCCTGTTACACTTAAGGCAGCACCAATGGAGCAGAGGTATCATTATATCACATTAAGGAAAAATTTGTTCCCCTGCTATGAACTCAACTGCAGTGGCTTATGAAAAGCAACAGCAGGATTAGGCAAGTATTTCATTAGGGTAATATTAAATTCTTCAGAAAGAAAACAGATCTTTTTTTAAAACAAAACAAGATGATGTCAGTGAAAATTAACATATGGCAAGAAGCCAGAAATTTTAATTTCTCAGGATAGCATTGTCTTTTTTTTTTGTTTGTTTGTTTTCCAAGGAACTTAATTTGCAGATATTAGCTGTCTTTGGTTTGTCTTGGACAAAAAGAAAAGTCTTCATTTTCACAAGCTGTATCTAAGGGAATTTCTCACAGATCATAGCAGAGGTTTATTTTTTTGCCTTTTCTTCAGCCTTTTGGGGTTTCCAACAGGTGTGCTTACTCAAAAGTGTATGAAAATTGTCTAGATGCTATGATATAGAGGCTCCTCTCCCTGCACCTTTTTCTCCTACTCGGGAATCAGCACAGGATAGATCCTTGTGCAGGAGAGAGGAGAGACAGGAATCGCTTTCCCTGCTGCATTTGCTGCCACCTTGATTCTGGATCCACAAACATAATGATCCTCTGACCAAGCATCTCTCAGACACATTACAGCCATTTTTCAAGTTTACAAACCACAGCTTCCTGCAAATGATTGTCTGCTGTAATCAAAGCTAATTGGAGTGCCAATTACAGCCCAGCTAGCATAATTGGGTTACCAGTTCTGATGAGTCATCAAGTCACAGAAAAACGTGATGTACATAATTCCCACAATTTCCCTGTCTATAACAAGGTGTTTTTCATGAGGAACAGCAGCTCTTTCTGTAGCACAGCTGAGGCAAAGCCCGTGAGCAGGCTGTGTTTCTGTGCAGCAGAGCTGACTCAGCAGCAGTGTCCCGGGAGCCACAAGCCAGTTAAGTGCTCACTAAGGTCATCAGCCCTCTCTTTGCACGCTGACAGTAGATACTGGTTTTCTTGAGTTCTGTGGCAATAACAAAGCCCAAAGTTCCTGGCTACCAACAAGTTTAAAAGCAGAAACAGGGGACATGACCACCTGAGTGTCTGACATGCCAGTGCAACAGCATTAAGTTGTAGGTGAAATTACTGAAGACAGGACAGAGAGGAAAATTCCTGCAGCAATCCAGCTAAGAATGCCATGGAGGAAATTCTGAACTAAACATTGTGAATCAGTCTGGAAGCAGCTAGAGAGTGCTTTCACACTCCTTACTTCTAAATGTGACTGTGGGAATAGCTGGCAGAGAAGCAATGGGGAAAAAAAACAGCAAGGGAAACAACCTTTCTTACTCATCATCAGCCATTTGCTATTGTCCCCAGTATCCTCTATGTTACTGGAGATGAAGAGCTATCTTTAATAGTGCACATATAATATAAATTTGCTAAACGGGTTTACAAAACAAGAACAAATATTTAGGGGAATTAAGATCTTTTACTAGACTAATCAGTAGAACTGGGGAAAAAATATATTATGTACTTTTTGGTGTACATGTAGTGTATTTTGGACTAATGAAAAAAATACCACATTGAGCTACAAATCCTGCCTTCTCTTTGTTCATAGGCAATTACAGCATTTTTTGAATTTTTTTTTTACAGATGGGAAAACTGACATACAGAGATTTCAATAGTACAGTCTTCTACCCCTGCTGATGACTGTGCTAAAGAGCATCAAAAAATCCTCACATTTACAAGCTTATCACTTTGACTGTAATCGAGTCATCACAGAAGGCACTAAAAAGCAAGTGAGCAGGACAGCAGTTCAGCATCAGAGGGGAACAGGAAATAGCACTTGTTAGCACCTTGCATCCCAGTTAATCAAAGCAGTTTACAAACTTTACTGATATTCAGCCTCACCACAAATCTGTCAGGCAGGGAAATATTAAAAACAGGGCCACAGGCACAGGTCACTAACAGGCAGTGACAGAGTTAGCAATACTGCTCTGCCAGTTGATACCCATTCCCAGATTTAACCACTAATACAGTTTGGATGCTGCAGTGACCAGCAGAGCTTTCTAAACATTCACATGTACAGTGGTCATCTGAGCAGCAAGTGAAATAGGCTTGAACATAACTATTCCTCTCCTGCAGGAAGAACTTCATGGGGAAGCCTTACACAGACACAGCTGAAACTTGCAGACCAGCTGGCTGCCTAATGTCTTAGTCCTGAGCCAACTTCTTCTCCCAAAACCTATTTACTAGGGGACAACACAGATGCACCACAGCTGGACCACCATCTCTGAGTTGTTCTCAAACCACTGGATTCTGATTATGTTTACAGCATTACATCTGCAGCCATTAATTTGAATACTGTATTTCCATTAAAACACATATTTGAGTATTTGTCAAACTTCTTCTCAATTATTTGGCTGCACCTTTCATCCCGTGCCTGTAACAGGAAGCTCAGAAGACCGACTGTGCTCTTCAGGCTGCAAGACCTTGGCTATCTGAGACACAGATAAGCCAGCCCACACCAGACCAGTGCTGGGCCCTTGGAAGTGCACTAAGCTGGTTAATGCTGCTACTCATCTGTGCACTGAGGACACCATTCACTGTGGTGCCCTGGGCATGTTTTCTAAAGACGTCCACAGGGCTGAAAACCAGACAAGAACTCAGCTGCTGCTGACTGTGGGCTGATAAGTAATTTACCTTACTGAATGTCTAGGACTTTTTGACATCCATGATGACTGACTGATTTTTCCAAGCAGAACTCACTTGACAACAATTACTGCTCTCTGCATAGGTACAATATTATTTCCATTACCACATTTGTTGTAAAATGGAGTAGAATTGAGATGGTCTGGTAGTGTATAACTGTGTAATTACTGTTAATAGATACTACTTGGACTAATTCACATCGTGCCTCACAATCTGATATTGGGGGAAAATAGCTTGTGGCTTCAGATAGCATAGTAATTTTTGTTAATACCACAAATCAAATGCAGTTAAATGACATTCTCATGGGCACTGTCTGGCTGCTAGGCTTGCTGCAAGCCTTTTTCTCCTGCACAGCAATGAATCACTGATGCTGACAATTTGCTCAAGAGCAGCCCTTTATTGCAAATGCAGAAAATATTTCTGAATTACTTCTAGGGTTTTGCAATTTCACATATTTCAATATCTCAGCCAAATATATTTGCCTTGAACTCTATTTTTCTATTGCTTTAATATTATGAAAACAATTACATAGTTAAAAAACCAAAACAGGGATGATAAATACTTACCACTTGGCTTATATCATATCCCCAAGGAAGAAAAAGAACTCCTGTGTTATATTTCTCCCAGTGTGAACACATGAAGTTAAACAAGACAATGCTTAAGTATATATACATTGTATATACAGAAACTCCAGTCTTCCCATTGTCACGGGAACAGACAGAAAAAAAAGAAAGCACAAAAATGGAGGTAGCCCAGCTGTCCAGCCCATGGTCAAATAGTTCTCCCAGAGGAGTACTGGACTGAGTCCTTCGAGCATGTTTCCCATCTATGGAGTCTAGAAGGATTGAGAAAAGAAAAGAAACAAAGAATTAGAGCACAACAAAAGCAGTAGCTTTCTTCACATACAATTCACTACTGCCATATAGAACACACAGGAAAATTACACTGATGACAGCAAACTGAAGCACAACAGCCCCCTCAATACCAACGGGTTAGAACTGCTCAGATATTAAGTAATTTTTCTGTCCTTACCTCAGCTCTGAAAAGGAATGCTACCTTCCTCATGAGTTTTAGAAAGAGACTCATAATTACTTGCCCCCAGTGGTCTTGAAACATTTTTACATCAGTCCCTGCAATTAGTTTCAAGTGCTGAAAAGTGTCCATAGAGCTTCTTGCCCATCCATTGGTGCTGTGGACCCTCTGAGCCTTCAGACCTGTTGTGGAGTGGATTCACTAAGGCATTTAAGTTCCTTGATGCTCAATACCTCAATGACTAACAGTTACATGTCAGTATAAAGGAGCAAATTTCACAAAATTTATTTCTATTTGTGCCTACATATATTTTAAAGTGCTTTCAGTTTTCACACAAGATTCAGATTTCACACAGTGTTCAGATGGCCAAAAAGGCCAATGGCATCCTGGCCTGTATCAGAAAGAGTGTGGCCAGCAGGACCAGGGCAGTGATTGTCCCCCTGCACTCAGCACTGGTGGGGTCACATCTTTAATTCTGTGTTCAGTTCTGGGCCACTCACTACAAGAAGGACATTGAGGTGCTGGGGTGTGCCCAGAGAATGGTAACAGAGCTGGTGAAGGGTCTGGAGCATAAATGTGAGAGGAGTGTCTGAGAGAGCTGGGGTGGTTTAGCCTGGAGAAAAGGAGGCTCAGGAGTGACCTTATCACTCTCCACAACCACCTGGAAGGAGGTTTTAGTGAGATGGGGATCGGTCTCTTCTCCCAGGTACAAGAAGAAACGGTCCCATGCCACACCAGGGGAGGTTACATTGGACATTAGGAAAAATTTCTACACAAAGATGCTTGTCAAGCATTGGAAGAGGCTGCTCAGGTAAGTGGTGGCATCACCACTGCTGGAGGTATTTAAAAGGTGTGCAGTTGTGGCACCTGGGGATGTGGTTTAGTGGTGGACTTGGCATTGCTGGGTTAATGGTTGGACTTGACGACCTTAAAGGTCTTTTCCAACATGTACCATTATACGATTCTAAGAATGCATTATAGTTAAGGCGCATTACATGTTGATCACTTTTAGTACTTGAGTGCTTAAAAAATGATCCAGCACTGTACAGGAACTTACTCCAAAGATGTAGTTGGACAATGTGGTTTGAGTTGATGTGATAGTTCACTGCTGTTGAGCAGGGCAACCTGCAGCCTGTTCAGCTGGTGGAAAGACAGCAAACATTATGTTTTCTTCTGGGTCACTGAATTTGTACTGTGAATGGTACAAAATGCAAGGGAGATGGCACAAGGGAGGGATGGTGAACACAGGGAGGAGAAAGGTGGTCCAGCAGCTGTAATGTTTCTTGGTTGTAATGTCAGATACTAATACCCTTACTCTCTTTTCTGAGACTGTGCAGGTGAAAAATAGAACTATTTTCCTCTTAAAGTTAAGGATAAACATGCAGGATGAACCTGTTAGGAAAAAATACACAGAACAAACCCTACAGATTACTTGGTTTTGTCTTCAATGTCAAAATAAAATTGAGATGCTTTTCTTTTTTATATTACTTGGAAGGTGCTATGGATAACAATTATTAGCTATTGATAGCATTAATAACCCAAAACTGACAAGGAACACAACTCAACAGAGTGAGACCAAAGACACCACAGCTGCTGTAGATCATATGCTACTTACTTCTCTGGATTATTTGGCAGTACTGTGAGTTTTGTTTAATGTAAATATACTTCAGGGACCTAAACCAGGAAAAGATGGGATTTCATTTTGTACAGATTTTAGACTATATCTCTATTGTAATATGTAAACAGCTGTGATATATCCTCTGCTCAAACACAAATCTCTTGGGACAGTTCTCAAAACTCTAAAACTTAAATATCTCATAGAGGATTTCAAATATAGCTAGCCTCCTTCTAGAGACTCATTCTTTATTAACATTTCCATTGAATTTTCAGCATCTTACTGAAACATGTGGAAAGAAAACTGTATAAGCTTGAGGTTACTTTAAAGGTTTTGCAATAAAATTAGAAATTCTTCCATCCATTGGACAATATCTCTGAAACCTAACCAGCAAATAAAGGTAGAAGCAATCCTAAAGAGTTTGTGGTGTTTTATATTCCAAGAACACCTATTCAAAATCAGACAGGATTCAGTTACACAGGTGTTACTATTTAAAAATAAGAATTTAGAACATTTGTCTGTTTATAAATTTTACATTTGTCACATAAGTATATAGATACTAAAATATGTACCTCACAGTGAAAAGTGGTTTTCATTTTGTAAGTACTTGGTTTTTCTAAAAAGAAGCTTATAATATTGTCCTAAAATACAGTACTTTAATTATACTGGTTATGGAAAAAAATACAGGAACTATATGACACATACATCAAACTGGATTTTCAGAAATCCTTAACCATATTTTCCATGTAGTTTCATTAGCTTTTTAAAAGACTGAAAATATTTTCTGGTTTAGGTTTCAGTTTGAAATCATTCATGCCAATAATTGTGTGTTTTCATTGGTTAACATGCACTGTCTCACACTTCCATTGCTTTAGAATTCTTATATTATTATTTTGTTTCAAAAAGATTCATAAATACTCCATTTTATAAAGTGTATATAACTTTTGAAGAGTGGAATTCAAAGTAACAGCAAAAAGCACTCAATTTCACAGAAAGGAAATGATACCAAACCACCTTAAAAAAGCAGGAGGGATGGAGAGCAGCATGTTAGGGAATTTGGAGAGAGTAACTGTGTCATTAAAATAAGCTGAGAAAGATTACAGTTGCATATTTAGTTAGTTATTATGGTTCTTTGCAGTCTTCCAGAGGGAAAACTTTGGCCATGCAAAATTAAATCTCCGACTAAATATTTCATGAAGTGGCTTGGACAGCAGACATAAAAATCTACATATATATTAGTTCATTATAGCTTTGACTGTCAACATCATATTCCTTGTCTTCTAAGTTTTAGGAACTACAAGCTTCACTGGAAAAAACCTCTACATTAAAAATCTCAGAAGCTGAACTTCCCATGAGCCTTCTGGGGTGCCACACAGTAACAGTTCCAAGATGTAATTCCAATTCATGAAGGAATAGTCACTTCATTAAATTCCATACAATGACATAAAAAATGGTTTTCACAAAAGAAATCACTGCTTCTGAGTACAGAGAGCTGCTAGAGAAATCTGAGTAGTAGCCACCTTCAAGGGATTGTTGTCCCATTCCTTTTTATAGTACAAATACAAAGAAATTCTGGACAAAAAGATTTTGGCACAAGATCTCACCAACTTAATAGAAATGCCAAGGTATGTACAATGCCGACTGAACACCACCGTGACAACTAAATAATAATGCCATGTCCAGTAGTTTCTTGAACACTTTCCAGGGTTGGAGATCCCACCACTTTCCTGGGAAGCCCATTCCAAGCCTTAACCACCCCTTCAGAGCAAGATTTCTTCCTGATGTCACACAGGAACCTCCCCTGGCATAGCTTGAGGTTATTTCCTTTTGTCCTATTGATTGTTGTCTGGGAGAAGAGACCTACCCCACCTTGCTACAGCTTCCTTTCAGGTGGTTGTAGAGAGCAATAAGGCCATCCCTGAGCCTCCTTTTCTCCAGACTTAATATCCCCAGCTCCTTCAGCTGCTCCTCATAAGATTTGTGCTCCAGACCCTTCACCATCTCTGTTGCCCTTCTCTGCACATGTCCCAGCACCTCAATGTCCTTCTTGTAGTGAGGAGCCGAGAACTGAACACAGGATTCAAAGTGTGGCCTCACCAGTGCTGAGCACAGAGGGATGATCACTGCCCTGGTCCTGCTGGCCACACTCTTTCTGATACGGGCCAGGATGCCATTGGCATTTCAGCCATGGTCAACCACCACCCCCATGACCTCTCCCACTGAGCCAGCCCCTAGCCTGTGGCACTGCCTGGGGTTGTTGTGACCCAGGTGCAGGACCTGGCCTTTGGCCTTGTAGAACCTCACACCACTGGCCTCAGCCCATTGATCCAGCCTGTCCAGATCCCCATGCAGAGCCTCCCTGCCCTCCAGCAGATCAACACTCCCACCCAACTTGATGTCATCTGCAAACTCAATAAGGGTGGACTCAATCCCCTCATCCAAATTATTGATAAAGATATTAAACAGGTCTGATCCCCTGTCCTGCATGTGCTGCATAATAACATTAAAGATGATCTGCTCCATAACTTTCCCAGACACTGAGGTCAGGCTGACAGGCCTGTAGTTCCCCAGATCCTCCTTCCGATTTTGTATTATCTTTCACAGTGGTGACAACATGGAGTTCTAGCTGAGCCTTGACCAATCCAGTTTTCTCTCTACAAGACCCGATGACATCCTTGTACTCTTCTTTATTGTCTGCCCCTATTTCCCAAGTTTATAAACTCTTTTTTTTTCTCCCCAAATTCCAGTGAAAGCCCTCTATTCAACCAGGCCAGTCTTCTTCCCTGATGGTTCATCCTTCATCATCTAGAGATAACCTGCTCCTGCGCCTATAAGATTTCCTTCTTTAAATGTATCCAGCCTTCCTGGGCCCTTATTACACAGAACTGTGCAGTCCTCTAAATATACTACCTTTAGTCTCCCCAAAAAAGAATTCTGTTGCACCATGCTGTGGAAAGTCTAGTTTGGAACATGAGAGCTTTGGAAGAGAAAGCAAAAAAGCCACACTAACGTGGATCTCACTCCCAGGTCAGCATCATTTCAGGTCTGTCTTCACACCACTGCACAGCAACGTGCAGTGTACCTAAAAATACACTCATGGCACAGAATGAAGTAGTAAAAATGGAATATGAAAGTGAGGTGTAGGTGTTATGGGAGAAAAACAGCAAGAGGAAAGAAAAAATATATACTTATTTCCATAAGAAGCTGAGGCCTGTCATCATATCTGTCATCATCACCTCTCCTGACACACACTTTAAGCACTGAAGTGCCTAACAATTTCCTTTTTTCTCCTTTGTCTTTTATTTTTCCTATTTTTTTGAAAGCACCCTCTGCTAATTCTGATGTCTGAGCTTCTCATCACCATCAAGGGACAAAGATTTTTATGAAACCAAACAGCAGTGACTCTCCTGTGAAGGAGGCTGAGAGAGTTGGGGTTGTTCAGCCTGGAGAAGAGAAAGCTCCAGGTAGTCCTTAGAGCAGCCTTCCAGTACCTAAAGGGGATACAGAAGAGCTGGAGAGGGACTTTTGCCAAGGGCATGTAGGCATAGGACAAGGGGGAATGGGTCCACAGAAAGAAGGTAGGTTTAGATTAGGTGCTAGCAAGAAAATCTCTACAGTGAGGATGGTGAGGCACTGGATTGGGATGCCTGGAGAAGTTGGGAATGTTCCATCCCTGGAAGTGCTCAAGGCCAGGTTGGACGGGGCTCTGGGCAACCTGATCTAGTGGAAGGTGTCCCTGTGATGGCAGGGGGATTGGAACCAGACTGCTGCTATATAATGATTTCCATTGTTCCTTTAAAATAATTTGAACATTCAAGAAGGATAAGAGTTACTGTAATAGAGCCTCTAATATGTTACTTTACATGCTGTTTTGGGTTTAAGTTTCTGATAAACCATTTTTTTGTGTTGTGGTTTGGGGGTTTTTTGGGGTTTTTTTGGTTTTGTTGTTTGTTTTGTTTTGTTTTAATCTAAGACGCCGACGCCTTGTTTTGGAAAGAAGTCAGTAATTTATCCACAATGCCTCTTTATCTCAGAATCATCAATAGTAAATTTGAAGGTAAAATTACATGAAAATGTCAGACATGCAAATTATTTCACTGTACATTACCTAAAGCATAAGCACAAAAGGTGGTAAAAGCACTGAACAGCCACACCCATGTGGGAACAAGTCCAGGGCTGGTACCTGAAAAAAAAATGGGGTGGTGAGCCAGTGTAACAGGGGTCAACATCAAAGAAATCCACCAAGATATGCACACAGATACAAACTAGCTGCCACTGATTAACACACTGCATCAAACAGATCGAAATATTTGAGTCTGACCTTCAGGCACTGCTGAGCTCTATCAAAGAAGCACTCAGCAGGCTTGAATGTGTTTCCACCGTAAAGGACAAAAGGTAATAGAGAGGTTATTTTGTCCTGAAATTACTCTAGTATTGCACAAAACAATGATAGAAACTAGGCAAAAATACTCACTAGGTAAAAATATTCTCAGGGAAAGACTATCCATTGAAAAATTAGTTCATGTTCATATAATATATAGAATAAAATAAGTTTTCAAGCATTATTGTCACTACCAGTCTGGGCTTTGTATAGTACTCTTACCACACAGATCTGAACAGGAAGTTTTTGTCCTTAGGCTAGCAGAAATACTAGCACCCCTTTTTTTTTTTTTTCCCATGAGAAAAAGGAAAAGATAGTTGAATTGGACAGAGCCCAGAGTTCTGTTCTTGCTCTGCTGACAGCATTAATCCAAGGTTACTGTTGCTCCTTTAAAAAAATTGATCCTTTTTCCAAAGAGACTTCCATTTAACTTAAACATCACCCAATACTACATCAACACTAAACAACTGTAAATGTAAAGTCCCCTCAGGTTTCTGTCATTTGGCACCAAACACAGGGAGTTTCTGCATACAGAGCTGTGTCCTTGCCTGAATGATGCCAGGAGATGCCAGCACCTAAAGCAGTGCCCTGACTACCTTTCTCTCAGTGCCTCATCTTGCCATTCTGAAAGCAAAGATGACAATTCCTGACTCCTAGCTGCAAATCTGCAAACTGTACCATGAAAACCAACTGTGCAGGAAATTAGGTTCTTATTTCTGATCCTAGGTATAGGAATGGTATATCATATCCAAAGGCCCTTTAGGTTGCATGAAAGTTTTCCATCAACTGAGAAATGATAGGGACTGTTCTCATGTGGACTCAGGAAGAGCTTGCAAACTACACATACAGGTCTCAACTCTAACAACCTTAATCACCATTTCAAATGTCTTCAAGTTCCGTGTATATCTACTGAGAATGTGCCAAGATAACATCATACCATTAAAAAGATCTGTTCTGGATGTTCTTTTATTACAGGGCTGAGTAAACATGGTCTGCATTGATAAAAAAGCACCAGGTGTTCAAGAATGAGGTCAGACAACTATATAACAAGCTGGTCCTGAAAATGTAACTTCTGAACCAAAACTGCTAACAAGTATCCCTGCCTCTAGAATTGCTATGCTAAATGTACAACTCACACCAAAGGGTACCTCCTGAAGCTATCCACAGGCATAACAAAATAAAGGCAGCTAAATGAAGTTGTTTCAGGAAATAAAAGTGTTATCTTCACTGAATTGTCTAGTTTAAAGAAAATCAAAGCCTTTTATCCATCTATATTTTACATATTAATCACCTGGAAAATTCTTACTATATTCTGTGGGCTCCAACAGCTGGTCTGAGGATCCCAAAGCAAACATGCCCTATGCTCAGGAACAATTAGATCCAAAAACTTTCTGACTTGGTCTTCAATGAGGAGCAAACATGGACTTGGATTTCGAAAGTCATAATTTGAAGAGACATTTACTTAGAAACTATGTTTTTCTCTAGAAGCAGTCTTGAATAGGGGGTGTGAATATGTGGAGCAATGAAAAGAAAGTTAACTCCTTCAGGCATTGGTTTAGGTATTAGGAAATGTGAAACCAATTAAAATGTTATGAAGAATATTCAAGTTGATTTTGGCTGTGTATTTAAACCCTGGAATAAACTTTAAATGTAATGAGATCTTCCCAGAGACTTCAAGCAGCATATGCTGAAAACCATTTTAGGGATAAAATTAAATGAGATTTTTCAATAAAATTATTTAAATTTATAATGCTATGTGTGAGGTAGATTCTCCTATCTGCACCTATAGAAGCCTTATTCAGAGAATAAGTGGAAGATTTAAGGGTCTGATGCCTCCCTGTAACATTCAGAAGTATAAGTAGTTCAGTAATTCTGAAAAATTACAACATGAATATATTTACCTGAGGCAGTGTAGTCCCAGTCATAAAAAGATATTAGAAAATAATTAAATAAAATCATGACAAATCCCGAGAAAGTTAACAAGTTGGGAGCAATCCACAAAGGCACTAACTGTTAAAAAAATGAAAGGAAAATAATTAGAAAAATTATATTTCAAATTGTGCATCTTATTTTAATAAAATATTTTATATCAGGAAAGAAGCTTTTATATTACATCAGCAATATTAAGCTTTGTGTATATTTCCCCATTTTCAAATCAAAATACAGTTTTATTTTCTGAAATTTATTTTCAAATGCAATCCTTTTGCCTGATTTCTGTGACTGCAGTAAGAATGATATTTTGAAAACATTGTACTCCTTTTAAAATGTTGTACATTATCCTCATTCAGCTCCCAAGGAAAGCCTTCTGTGATCAGCTGCATCAGAACTGAAAGAAGACTGCAGCACCCCAGTGTGGTAATTCAGCATCCACGTGGCAGGTTTTCAAAGCATTGTATTCCCACACTATAACAAGGAAAGCTCTTCTTCAAAAGTATGTGAATAATTTCTTACTCAAAACATCAACTAAATCAGACCCTGAGTGCATTACACTTTTAGATTCAGAAGATCTCCCCGTTACAAGCATCTCCCTACTCTCTAGATAGTAACTTTCCGACAGGGTCTCCCTCTGTATTCATCAATTATTAACACTCCATTAATTCATTTTACTTTGGAGGGCACTGAAAAGGACTCTCTGCCTTCACCTAAACCTCTTTGTCCCAGTAATCATTCTCAGGCGTTCCCTCCCTGTGGCTTTAAGGTGCTCCTTCCACTGCAAAAGGAATCCCTTTCAAAAATACTCTTCCCAAGTAACACAGTTTCTCGAGAATATTTTTTGAAATACATTACACAGCTTTCTACATGATTTTTAGACAGACCACATTTGCAGAAATACTAAGTATCAACCATTACCATTACTCAAACACATTGTCAATGTATTTAAAACACAAAAATACTGGAGGCTTATAAATACATTATTTGGAGTGTCTAAGAGCTCAAAATGTATATAATGTACTTCAACACTATGAAATAGTACCAGAAAATATTAAAGAAAATCAATTCAAATAATTCCTGATACTAACAGGAATAATATATTACAATAGTATACTACAACTATACTAACAATAGTTTTGAAATCAAATGTTTTGTTAATATCTCTGGACTAGCTAGCTGAACAGACAGATAAATACATATTAATTTATTCTATCTTACCATTATATTTACTTAAATTTACTTTCAAAATCTGAATGCTTTGACTGATTAACTATCCTGACTAGATTATCTTTTTCAACTATAGAGCAATTTTTAATATTCAGGAGAAATTGTGAAACCTATGATGTACAGACTAAGTGTACACTTCCAAAAATCAGGTTAGAGTTCCTCAACACTCTTCCATTATGTTTCTTAGAATAATTTTCTGTAATTACATTGGTAAAACAATTATATCTGATATTTGCTTTCCTTATCAGCAGGATTTTATCACTGATTTTAAAACACTGTATGTCAGCTCTCATTGTATTTAAAATACACCATGGAATGCATACAGCAACAATTTTAAAAATTTAACATATCTATCATTCTGAGTGTTAAAAAGGGCAAAGCAACACCTCTAAAGAAAAGGACAGTAAATGTCCCCTGAAATTCCTTTTGGAGAGCGTCTAAGGAGGAACCCTTCACTGCATGGTCTCCCTTTCTCACACTGACTGCATGCTCAGCATGCAGCATCAGCTGCACATCTCCCAGCTTTGCTACCTGAGCATGCAGAAGATGGATCTCCTGCTGGGGATTATCTGGTATCTCTGAACTTTCATGAAATAAGAAGCACAGACACTAAAAAAAATCTAGATTTGTCTCTTTTAACCTAAATCATAAATCAGAAGAGTGCTTTAAGACACTCAGAATGAAGTGTTTACATGGATATACATGGATAAACTGACTGCTTTTTCCTGGATGATTCATAAGAATTGTTGACAATCAAATCAAGTGGGGCACCACAAACGTCTGCTTTCTAATTAGGCTCATCATTCTAAACAGTCACAATGTCATTTTTAAGTTATTACAGGAAATAATTCATGCTTCCATGGCACAAACATGAAATTATTTTAACCCACTTTCTTGCTAACTGTGTATTTTAAGAAGGAAACTTTCACAGGTTTTTCAATTTGTTATAGCTGCAATCCCTTTGGCTAACAGACACACCATGAAAAACACTCCTGTTACAGGAGTTCTGCCCTCAGGAAAAGAGACTCTCCTGCAGTTAAACCCTTAAGCCTGTTCTTTTGATCCATACTGAACCTAATCTGTCTAGGTATTTGGAAAGTATTCCAGTTGCAAAATCCCTTTTGTTATATTTAATGCTCCTTATCTTTTTAGTTGGCATTACACTACCATCACCCTATTTCATAATTAGAAAATCACAGGGTGTTCAAGATTAACTTCTTACACACCTTGGACAAATAGAGCCTGAATTTATGAGTATGCTATAGAAGGATGAGCTGCAATCTTTATAGTCTAATTAACAGACAGTAGAGGTCTAATATATCAATGTACTACATGATTAATACAACTGGAGGTGCCATGGGGCAAATCACATCTGCTTTCTGGCAAAACTCTTGTGTGCCTGAACCTTTTAAAGAACTCTTAATTCCACAAAGTATTAACTGATTTCTGTTTCTCTGGGTCTAGCCATTCAGTCTAAAAGCCTTAATAGAAACAGCAAATGCTTTAATACAGCAACTATTTGGATAATAAATGGTAAAGTACACATGTATATAAAGCCCTGTTCAAACTTCACTAGGTCACTTGAGACCACTAAAATGCTACTCTTGCCCAATTCTGCTGATAAAATCAAAGTTCATAAGGCAACAGAGGGGAGTTTAATTGATTTCAGTTACACTGGCATACACCTGTGTATTCCAGTGGGATTTCCTCCTTTTCCTCTCATTGTCCAGCATCCCCAGCAGATATAAATGAGCTGGGTTATGACAATAGGTTTTCAGTTCACAAATTCACAGATTTTTAATGTCAGGGTCTTCTTAATTTCTTATAACACAGGAAGTACATTTCACAATGAATGGTAATGACTTATAACATAGGAAACATATCTTCCAATGAATTCTGCATTGTGGAATACAGAGAAACTTGTGCAGCCATTAGGATTAAACAGGCATATGAAAGGCAAGGCCAGAATCTCAAGCTATTGTTCTCATGAGTTGTTTGGGGTTTTTTTGCTTGGCTCAGTGAATTTAAGGTTGCTTTTTTTAAACTCCTCTAGAATCTAATAAAAATAGTCCATGTGGAATTTTTATTGTCCCCAGTTTAGAAAGTAAAATACAATTAATTCATATCTGAGAAAGGATGTATCAGGATGTCTAAACTGACTGAAGGAACTTCTCCCAGTCATCAAGATGCACACTTGTACTGCCCAGTTTTGAATGAACATAGTAGATGCAAAACATTCTTTAAAAATTCTTTTAAAATGATGCAAATTTCCCTATTGCAATGCACCGTTCAGGAACAAAACCATTACAGCAACTTGCATTCCTACTGATATTTTACAAACAATTATATTGTGACTAAGCTATATGGGAACATTCAATAATGTTCTTCTTCCAGTAAAAGGCTGCAACTATTAGGAGAAAATACCTGCAGAGGAAGTTTTGCATTGACAACACTTCCCCTTCAATCTGATAGCAGATGAATACTCACCCATCTCCTAAACTAAAGGGCAAGTGCACAGTAAAGCCTCTACTCATCTCCCATGCCAGAATGCTGGAGAGGCTTTGCTGTCTCATTGCTTTCCTCAATATTATGATAGGAATAAAAACAAAGTCTCTGAATTGAATTACTGAAGTCAGTGTCACATCTTTGAATTTCTTTTTTCTCATCCCATGTTCAAATTGTATTTTAATTCTTCAGTTGGGTCATACAAACATTTTCCATTAAATTACTTTGAGGTTATGAATTAGAGATTAAGATTTTCCTGCCATATCAAGAATAATCAACACCTGAATTACAGAATCCAAAGATGGCAGATCCAACAATGCTTTGACCACATACATCCTTTTTTTGTTTGTACAAAGGTTTGTTTTCAAGTCTGCTCCAATCTAAACATTTCCTGTAATGAGGCAGCACAGAAGACAGTGTTTCCTTGGAGATCAATAAACTTCATATTTATTTGAGATACAGCTTGCCTTTATTTTTTTTTTTCCAACAACCACATAACTAATTGTGAGTGGTTTATTTTTAAAAACTGCAGATTGCAATGCAGTTTCAAGAGATGGCATCTTCCAATCATTATGGTGATCATGGTAACCACTCTCATTTTCAGCTTCTGCGAGGAATGCCTGGCTGTCTCAAGCAAGTCCCCTCGGGAGAAAATGAGACAGTGCTTGCATAAAATCATATGCACAGCACAGAGAGAAAGCCATGCTGTTGTTAGGCAGCATATGCTGCACAAAAATAATCTGTACTAAGTAAAACCATCCATGTCTGCAAAGCTGTTTAATGAAAGATGCAGAAAAGAAATGGATAACTTTTCTACAGCAATCACAAAAAAGAAACAAGCCCTTTCTTTCTAAAAAAAAATCTCAAAACAACACACTCCTCTTAAACATGGCTAAATATCCTGCAACATTTGTTCTCTTTTATCAGATGTCATTTCAGCTTTATTGATCAATATGTATTTTTAAATGAAAGTACACACTACATTTAAAACAAATTCTTGCATTAACATGTTATGTTTTATTAAATGAAATTCTTACCTTAATAATTTTATTCCAGATGGGCTGCATAATATACACAGATAAAGGATTTGTATCCACAGCACTGTACTGTGAGGAAAAAGCAAGCATGTTAAACAAAGCACTGAACAATGGCTATATCTCCAGGACTACATGTCCTTCAGCATCTAAGAGCACTCAGTGAGACTGGTGCAAAATTATTTGATTCTGATTCATACCAGTTTTATTTAATTTAAAAGCACTGGCCTGGTTTACAATTCCCTTGTTAGCAACTCTATGTTAGCAACTCACAAAGGCTTGTGAAATGGCAAATCTTTTACTTTTAGATTCTTATTAATTTTACAACCTTATAAAATTCTGCATTTCTACCATATTTTGGATTTAACACCTTTATTTCCACTACCAGTAATGCACAGTCTGAGCACCAGTTCATTGCTAGTATGTAGGACAGACAGTGAACTTGGAATGTGTTTGTAGGTGGAATATTATCTTGCAGAGATACTCAGCTTTTGTCATAGTAACACAGTTGCATTTGCACTATGCTAATTCATGTAAGGCAATGTTATTATAAAAATGAGCTCTAAAATAGCACAGTTCATTACCACAATAACATTTCTCTATTGGACAGACTTGAAAACACATGTGTTTTATAAATTCCAGTAAGTAAATATCTATATCTTTTGTAAACAAAATATTTCAGAAATCCAAGGCCACCCTGAATTGCTGTTGTCTCATTTTTTCTCAGAGGACAGTATCAAGTTTTATCCTGCCTTGAGACTGCAGAACACAGAATAATCTTAGGAAGAACAATCTTAAACTGACAATACCACTCAAAACAATATACTTGAGCCCTGGTAGGTAGACACTGGAAGAAGTTATCCATTATTGGGGTGGTACACGTAATTATTTCAGAAATTCTTGGACTGTGAAAGTTCATACATGGCTTAACGTTGCTAGGATGATGCATATGACTCACAAAGATTCAGATATATCTACATATAGCACTGTCCAAACACCACGTGCAGAAAATGGGAGTAAGATGGGATGTGTTAGACCACAGTTGGACAAAGCTGTTCACTTGCAGAAGAGCTGATGACAAAGTCTCCTTCCACATAACTTCAGCTAACAGTTCACTGTCCCTCCATATATATAGTTAATTTATTGACTTCTCTTACCCAGCTCACCAACTCTCTTGGATGAGACTGCATGCTGGAAGTACCTGTTCCAAGTCATTAATTATCAAAGCAACTTAGGCACTTGTCTTAAACTCAGGTACCTACATAAGAAATGCTTAGGAACTCTTCCACACATATCCTTTTTCTATCTGAATACAAAGCATATATTTTAATTACCTTCTGGACAAAACAAAGCATTCACATAGTAATTTTGTGTGTTCAAGTTTAAATCACAAAAACAAGTTTGTGATTTATGATCAAGTTAGATCAAGATTTATGATCAAGAACTTATGATCAAGTTTAGATCATAAACACAGGATCTAATAGAATTATTACAGCACAGCTATTCACTGTAAATACATACTGACAAATAGAAAAAAAAAATCACTGAGCAATAACTGGTCAGAGCAGACTGCCTACATTTCCAAAGAGAATAAAATTTTCAGTTTAATGAAGTGTACATCACTGATTTTAATTTTTCAAAAAATGCTGTAAGTATTCATTCTGATGTGTCATTTTTCTCTACTGCTGTACTTAAGACACAATGCAATTTTGTCATCAACAGATTTTCCCCAGAATATATATTAGCATTCTTAAATACACTACCTCAGAAAAAATTAATTTGCAGGTAAAACTTAAGTCTTCATTATTCTGTATGTATTTGCAGGTCCAGATGCTGTATTTATCATTCAAACACTGATTATTACAACTGTTTGAACTTTTGGTAGTCGGGCTTGCATGTGAATTACCAAAACCTGTGGGCTTTGCTTACATTTATGCCAAAATTAAAAATAATACCAAGCTATACAATACCTATGCCAACAGACCAGTCAGCTACTACTTAATTCACATGAGAACTATGGAAATCCTCTGAAAATGAAGAAAATTCAAGGTATCCATAAGCACTTTTGAGGTTCCAGGAGTCTGCCCAAAGTGTCACTGTGGCTACTGCCCATTTCCTTACCCCAGCTAGTATTCAAAGACTATGTGAAATATGGGACAATTTGATGACCAGCAAATTCAATGAATTCAGCCATACCTGGATAAGAATGTGCAAAGGTCAAAATAAGGGATTTTACCCTTGCTTTTACTCTGGCATTCTATTTCTCCCCTCACCCCCAAGTCAAAGTCACAAATAAAATCAGAAAATGCTAGTTAAACAACAACAGTAAAATTAGGCTTTCTATCCAAAATATTCACTGACTGTTCAGACCTACTGCTTGCTCTTAGGAGAAAAAAAAAAAAAAAAGGAAAATCAGTCTCATTTCTTTGAAATTGTTTTATTATAGAGAAAATATAATAGACAATATAGATATTATATAATTTTTGTATTGTCTTTACTGGATAATGTAAGAGATTAGGTAGCTTTCCAACGTATCTCTACATAACAGACACAAACAAGAGACACAGTCAGCTTTTTGTTTGCCTCACAGTTTCCAAAGTCAAGCACCAAAAATCAAAACAGACCTTACTGGAAAAAGGAAAAAAAAAAGGAGAATTACAGCCAGCTTTTGTCACCTAAAGACATTTCAGGACACACCACACTTCATCCTGTTAATTCCTATGTCTGTGGCTGAACTGTTGGTCCTCTGGGTGGGGAAGGAACATTCAGCAGATGTGCAGAAGAATGGAAATTTGCACTTCCCTCCACAATGATTTGTTTTAGCCAGACCAAAGGAAACACCCATGGAAAAATAGTTTTCAGTCACGGCAAAAAATAAAACTTGACAAATAAAGTCTGCTATACCATTTAATACTGTGCTTTGTTCTGCTCCCAAGAAGCTACTAACCTCAAGGCCATGAAATCCTCAGGAGTTTAATGTTCAAGGCTGCTCAGAAAAGCAAAGTACTGAGTAACATGCTCACATTATGACCAATGAACATGAATGCAAGAGTCCATTGAACCTGATGGAAAAAAAGCATTGCCATTTGCTATTGTGTAATTCTGTCATTTTCAGGGCACTTATACTAAAAGACAAAAGTGGAGAGGATAAGTCTGTTGGAGGTTTTTAAGTGCAAGGCTCATACAAGTACTAATCACTTCCCTGCAAACAGTTTCTGCCCTGGAAAGGGGATTGATTGTCCTTATACAAAGAAGAAGGGCTTGGAATAATCAAAAAGCTTCTCTCAATTATTTTTCAAAGAAGTTGTAACAGCTGGGAGGGAACAGCAGTAGTAAGGGAATAGGAAAAATGGCACTGACTTCATCTTACTCCCAAATTTAAAAATGCTTCTTCTGGTTTTATTTAATAGCTGATATCTCCTTGAAAGTAATCTGCTTTAACTCTCAGTGTTAATGGCTTCTAGAAGAGATAAAAATGATAATACAGACACCAGACATGTGCACACATACATGGTGACATGGGCAGCACACATGAAATGTGCTTTTAGTTTGTGTTCCTGCATCTTAATTTCCATCCAGGGGATCCAGCACAGCACGAAGGTTCTGCTGGTCACCTGTGTTAAAGGGGAAAGGAAACAAGATTTGGGGAGGGGGTAGGAAAGTGATAAACAATTAAGAAAAGTAACAGGAAAACAGAAGAAAGAAAAATGAAAGAAAATGAGTAAAAGCAAAGTTTTTGGCTACACAGTAGAAAGACAACTGTTCTGCAGGGACAGAGCAGAGCCAAACACCGAGGGGCAAAAGCACTCACAGTGATCAGGGTCTGCTCTGCTAAATACAAGACAAATGGTACCTTCTGGCTCACATCCACACAGCTTAGAAACACTTCCCATTATTGCAAACTGGTCACATCAGCACCACACAGCATCTGCTGGAGGGGTGTTGGGCCTCATCATCTGGCCCCACACACCCAACACATCATTAGCATTCAATATGTTTAAGTTCAAAGTATCTGAAACAATCTGGAGACTACACTGTAACACAGCAATATGGCACTTTCAGAGCATGAAAGTGAGCCCTGTCTGCTGTGCATGTTCAAAAACCCAAATGCCCATGTTGGAAGAGTGCTGAAGGATGGTGAAACCAAAAAATTGTGTGGACTACCTCCAGAACAGATTATTTCCAAACCAAAAGCCTAGCTATTGCCTTGGAGAGACTTTAGAGAAATAAACAAACAAAACTCAAACAGGGAATGAGCTAACCACGAATGAGAGCAGACACTGGATCTTCACTTCCCTAGTCCTCTCCAGCTTTGCACTTTGGAGGCATCACAAGAATAAAATTTTGGAATGAGTACGATTAAGAGAAAAATATAAAGCATGCCTACACACACTTCAGAGTCAGGAGAGAAAGCAAGCTGCAAGAAATGTAGTTGCATAACTACATTATATCATTATTTCAACTTCAGCTGCTCTTTATACTAACAGACTACTCCTTTCCTGTACTTAAATAATCTTGTCCCAGGTATTGTGCCACTCAGTCATTTACATTCACAACACCTATGTTTTGTAAATGACAAAGAGATGGGAGGCATGACAATTGCCTCTCTTTTGCAGGTAAGGGGTTTTTTTGGTTTTGAAACTGGAAGATGACCCTCCCAATCCAGCATATGGACCAGTCAATATTGAAGAGAGCTCAGTGGGAAATCACCCTTTTGGGCAATGTCTTATGCAATATGAACTTGGCTTCTGTGATACCTTACACTTCAGGAACCACATAAAAATTAAAGAAAATACTGAAATACTGGCACATCTGGTAACAATTTTCCATCAATCTTTCAGATTCCTAGAATACATGAAACATGTGGAGTTTAATTCTACTTTATATATGTTTTTACAGGTTTGTAGTTTGTATGGGACAGTCTTGGATCTTAACAAAACCTTCACAAAGGGAAGAAAGAGAAGCATGCTATAAACAACAGAGCTCCACAACACTGTGGATGCCAAATACGTTCAGCAGTTTAAGTGCTGATGTATTCCAAAACACAGTCCTGTTATTTCTAATAATAGAAT